TGCTTGTAACTACTGGCTGCAGGATACTGCAGGAGCAGAGGTAGCAAACAGCTGAATTCTGTGACAATAGAACTTGGTTAAAAGTGTTGCTTCAGTGTATCAGATGACAAGGGAGATGGTGAAATATTACAAGGCCCTACAGAATAGACACTTGCAACTCTCTAGCCAAGTAAACACGCTTCAGAGGGCACTGTAGAGAAAGGACTCATCTAGTGGAGTCCTTTAGCCACTGTTTCCTTTGGAGTATCACATAAAATTCTGCATATAACACCCTTCCTTTCCTCCTTCCTCTTTGCCTGCTTAATTCATCCTCTAGGTCTTCGCTCAGATGCTCCTAGGTTAAGAATCTCTCCCATCCTAACATACTGTATTGCTCTAATTAAATGTTCCCCACCAGACTGTGACTTCCTTGGGCATCTTAGTTCCTGACACATAATACCTTAAAATATTTGTTAAATGAGCGACATGGTGTAGAAAATGAATTGAAAAAGGTACTGGCAACAGAAAGGTAATCTGCGCAGCTGTGCCAGTAATCCAGGTGAAAGAGACTTTCAGCAGCAATGTGTACGGAGAGTGGGTGGATTCCACAGCCTCTGTTCATGTGTTCCAGCTCCAGATGACTTTTGAATGTTAAAATATTGCCTCAAAAGGCAGTTTTGCCAACACTGAGGACATTTAAAAGCATGCCCTATAGGCTTGAGAGCTTTTCTCCAGTTACAAAGACACTTAGAAAATATTGCAGCAGCACCTCTACGAATAAATGAACAATCTCACTATGGAACTGCTTTGAAGGGATGGCTTCTCAGGCAAAAATACAAATTGTGTAACATCTGTCTTTTCAATGTTACTTTAAAAAGTATCATTACTTACTCATCCAGTTACTTCATTCAGCTCTCTTCGGGCTCAGTGAGCCTGAGGATGAGCTGTTTCAGAAAGTAGTTTGCAGCTAGGCATGGTGGCTCATGCCTCAGCACTTTGGGAGGCTGAGGCAGGTGGATCACTTGAAGTCAGGAGTTTGAGACCAGCCTGGCCAACATGGCAAAACTCCATCTCTGCTAAAAATACAAAAATGATCTGGGCATGGTGGCATGTGCCTGTAATCCCAGCTACTCAGGAGTTTGAGGAGGGAGAATCGCTTGAACCCGGGAGGTGGAGGTTGCAGTGAGCTGGGATTGTGCCACTGCACTCCAGCCTGGGTGACGGAGTGAAACTATGTCTCAAAAAATAATTTTCTTGTAGCGACCTCTCTACAAGCATCAACAATTCATGACAAATTTCATTTCCTGTTCCAAAGTAGGAGAGCGCCACTCCAGAGCTTTGCTGGTCTCCCTGCTATCCTGGGAGCTCACACCACCCAGGTATCCGTGGTGACCATGGTACAGACAACTCCAGGGCCTGCCTTTAAGTGATGTGATGGGCAAGGGATTCATCCCAAGAATCTCTGCAAAATAACTTTTACCTTGTCCCCCATCTCTAACAGACTGTGGCCTAAGAACATAGTTCCCTCTTCCTAGAAAGCACCTGCCACCTTGTTGATCTGGCAAATTAAAGCCTGTCACTACTTACCTCAAACGTCACTTCTTCCAAGAAGCCTTTTTCCCCTTTTTTTCCCCTCTTCCTCTCATACCACTATCATTCATGCAACAAATATTTATTCAGCATCTATTAGATTCCAGAAGTTCACTTCCAGGTACTGGGGACACAGCAGTTAAAAACAAAACAGGCCGGGCGTGGTGGCTCACGCCTGTAATCCCAGCACTTTGGGAGGCCAAGGCGGGCAGATCATGAGATCAGGAAATTGAGACCATCCTGGCTAACACGGTGAAACCCTGTCTCTACTAAAAATACAAAAAACTAGCCGGGCGAGGTGGTGGGCGCCTGTAGTCCCAGCCACTCGGGAGGCTGAGGCAGGAGAATGGCGTGAACCCGGGAGGCGGAGCTAGCAGTGAGCTGAGATTGCGCCACTGCACTCTAGCCTGGGCAACAGAGCGAGACTCCGTCTCAAAAACACAAAGCAAAACAAGAAAAAGATCGGCTGGGCACGGTGGCTCACGCCTGTAATCCCAACACTTTGGGAGGCCGAGGCGGGTGGATCATGAGGTCAGGATATCGAGACCATCCTGGCTAACACAGTGAAATCCCATCTCTACTAAAAATACAAAAAATTAGCCGGGTGTGGTGGCATGTGCCTGTAGTCCCAGCTACTTGGTAGGCTGAGGCAGGAGAATTGCTTGAACCCGGGAAGCAGAGGTTGCAGTGAGCCAAGATCGTGCCACTGCACTCCAGCCTGAGCGACAGAGTGAGATTCTGTCTCAAAAAAAAAAAAAAAAAGACCAAATGTCATGCCCTGCCCTCATACGGGCTCACATTCTAATACCACCTTGCATTGAAACTGTCCCTGTCTCCTATCACAAGTATGAGCCACAACTTACTCAGCTCCAGGGCCTAGGACAGAGACTGGCATAGAATGTAGGTGCCAGATGTAACAGAGTGTAGCTGAACAGCCCATCACAAGAATGTGAGCTCTGGATCACAGCTGTTCATCCTCCTTCCCATCTCTTTACAATCCCACCCTATATAGTTACTTAAAAATTTCTCCTCTACTAGATGAGTCCTTTCTCTACAATGTCCTCTGAAGTATGTTTCCTTGGCTAGAGAGTTGCAAGTGTCTATACTGTAGGGCCCTTATCACCATCTCCCTTGTCATCTGACACACTGAAACAACACTTTTAACCAAGTTCTATTGTCATAGAATTCAGCTGTTTGCTACCTTTGCTCCTGCAGTATCTTGCTGCCAGTAGTTAAGAGGCATCCCCATCCACAAGACAGAAGCAAGCGAGAAAGAATGAGAGCAAACAGAAAGTGCCTCATGAAAGAAACATCAGGGAACTTTCTTCTTTGCCTCTTCAAAATAGATGGAGTCTCACTCTGTCACCCAGGCTGGAGTGCAGTGGCACGATCATAGCTCACTGCAACGTCCAACTCCTAGCCTCAAGGATCCTCCTGCCTCAGCCTCCTGAGCAGTTAGGACTACAGGTATGTGCCACCACACTCAGCTAATTTTTGTTTGTTTTGTAGAGACGGGGTCTTGGTATGTTGCCCAGGCAGGTCTTGAACTTCTGCGCACGGAAGTGATCCTCCCACCTCAGGCTTCTGAGTAGTTGGGATTATAGACAGGAGCTACAGCACCCGGCTCAGTGGGATCTTTATATGTTGAGCTGTTTCCTTTCAAAACTAACATTTTCTTTTTTTGAGACAGTCTCACTCTGTCACCTAGGCTGAAGTGCAGTGATGTGATCTCGGCTCACTGCAACCTCCGCCTCCTCGGTTCAAGCGATTCTTGTGCCTCAGCCACCAGAGTAGCTGGGATTACAGGTACGTGCCCCAAGCCCAGATAATTTTTTTATTTTTAGTAGGGATGGGGTTTCACCATCTTGGCCAGGCTGGTCTTGAACTCCTGGCCTCAAGTGATCCACCCACCTTGGCCTCCCAAAGTGCTGGGATTACAGGTGTGAGCCATGGCACCTGGTCCCAAAACTAACATTTTCTAAGGTATTGTTGCTGTTTCCTACAAATTACCTTCATATCCACTCTCTTATTTGACTCTTTCAAGGATGCTCTGAGGTAAGTAGATAGGTCAAGTTAGTGACCCTTTCCCCACGGGCTCCATCCAGAACTAACCAAATTGATCCTGCTGGGAACATCCTTGGAATAAGTAGAGCTGTAAAGTCCTAGGGCTGTGCCTTCTTTGTCCATCAGCTTTAACCTACGAGAGTTAGGTTTGCTACGACTGCCTGCAATTCAGAGGCATCAACTATACACAGCAAAAGCTTGGCCCTGGTCCATGCTGGCCTCTGAGGAGTGCCAGTCCTCCTAGCTGAAGCTGAGGTGTGAGGAGACAGGGCTATTACAACTATTTAAAAACAACACACAAACAAAACCAAAAGAAAAAAAAATACAAAAAAATTTTATTTACAGTTGAAAACTTAAAGACAATCTTGGATTCTGAATCTCTGACACTTCCATGGTCTCTTGATCAAATGGGGCAGCAGCAGGCAGGGAAGCAAACACGAGGGCCACTCCAGATTATCTTACTCAAGACCACCACCAAGAAGAAGGGAAGGCCTACAATGGCAGAGACATGGAGGTCAATGTGGGATGGGGAGGTAAGCACCTCAGAGCAACTGGAAGGGGACATCCCATATGAGACAATGCTCCCAGCTGTTCCTTTTTTTTTTTTTTGAGACAGAGTCCTGTTCTGTTGCTCAGACTGGAGTGCAGTGGCACGATCTCAGCTCACTGCAACCTCTGCCTCCCAGGTTCAAGCAATTCTACCTCAGCCTCCTGAGTAGCTGGGACTACAGGCACACGCCACCACACCCACACACCCAGCCAATTTTTGTATTTTTAGTAGAGACGGGGGTCTCACCATATTGACCAAGCTGGTCTTGAACTCTCGACCTTGTGATCTGCCTGCCTTGGCTTCCCAAAGTGCTGGGATTACAGGCATGAGCCACCGTGCCCGGCCACTCCCAGCTATTCTCTGCACTCCCAATCCTCTTTTCCCAAAAGGGTAGAACAGGTCAGAGTCTCACCATAGGTCAGACCTTTGGGTCCCCAGAGCAAAGTTGGGCAGTAAATTACAAAAGAACCAGGAAGAAAGCAACTAACATTTATGGTCAAGCATACTGTCTCATTTATTTGCCCTTCACAACTCCATGCATTATATATTATCTAATTATGCAAAGGAGTACGGTCCCAAGGGGTTTCACGGCTTGACTAAAGTCACAGAATTAGACAGTGGTGGGGCTTCCTGGTCTACTTGGCTCCAAAGTCTTTGTTCTTTTTGTCAGACTCTGATGGCTCTCTGTGGAGGTCCAGAACAAAAAGTAATCCTTCTTCCTTGCAGGTTTCGGTCCCAGAGGTAAGAGAAAGGGCAGTCCACATTCTCGGTTTATAGCCTTGAAGTCGAGCAAGCTATACTAAGAGAACAGGGTAAGTACACTCAGATACTATTGTCCCCCTCCTCCTGCCATTCCTCAGACATGCCACACCTTGCTCCAGTGGACAATGAGTGCTGGCATCGATCGTACTGTAGGCACAGACTGAAGTTTAATTGTGGGCCCTCAAGCAAAATGTATGAAAATGCATAAATGTACTTTGTAAGCTGCATGGTGTGCCAAGACCTAAGCTCTGTCAGACCAAGCACTATGTTAGTCAGCATGATCTCAGTCCAGGGAAAAACAGACCGACATATTTGTGATACAGTGTGTTAAATGCCACAGTGGAGAGATGAACCAAGTGCTGCGGGAGCACCCAGGTGGGAACCACTGTCTGGGCTTAGACCTGGAAGAGGAGGTGGAGGGATCAGCGACGGATTCACAACTGATGTTAGCCACAGCTGTGGGCAGGCTCCTGGGAGGTGCTGGGAGGATTTAGGATTAGTTAAAACTACATATAAACAGTATGTATTTCTATTACAAGACACATGTTCGAGGTAGAAAATTCAAGCTTAAATAAGGCAACTGAAAAGTCTCTTTGCTATCTCTACTCTGCAGAAATATTATCAACAGTCTGCTTTATATCACTGCAGAGATTCCTGAAAATCATTTAAAATAAACAGTAACATGCTTACATAAATTACTACATCTTGACTGTCACTTAACTTACCTTAGAAATCTTGCCAACACATCCAAATCTACCTCTTTGTTTTTATTAAGGCTGTATAGTATTCCATTGAAGAGAATGGAAACTCTATGTGTGTAAGACTTGGCTGCAATGCAAGAAGCTTTGCTTTTGTACTGGACTGGAATGGACTGGAGCCAGACATTCTCCCCTCCCCTGGCCTTTTCAGCTGGCAGAGCTTCTGCGTTTCAGGACAGGGAACAAACAGTGTCACATGCTCAGCAGGCACATAAACATTTGCTGCCAAATCTCCAGTGCTCCCCAGACCCATATTTTCATGTAAAATCTCTTTTCTCTTGCCTGGACTACTACGGCAGTGGACTCCTCACTGGCCTCCAGCCTATCCTCCACAATGCTGCCAGAATCATCTTCTGAACATGAAAATTCAACTACAATATTCTGCTGAAAATCCTTCAGTGGTTCATATTGGTCTGATTCTTTTTTGGAGGGTCAGTGCCCCTTTTGAGAATCTCAGGAACACAATGGACTCCTTCCCCAGAGGGGAAAAATTACTTCATGCCTGAAAGTCAGCCCCTGCCCTCAGAATAACATACGAACTGCTAAGCTTGGCACTAGCTTTCACTACTGGCCCTGGCCTCTCTCCAACCTTCTTACCGTTTGCTTTTCATATTTTCCTGCTTCAGTCATATTGAATTATTTGCAGCTTCCTCTACATTTCCTGCTGTTTGCTGCCTTTGTGACTTTGCATAGGCTGTTCCCTCTGCCTGGAATGCCCTGCCCAGTTTTAGCCACCTGACAAGTTATATTCCTTCTTTACTAAACTGGAGCATCATCTCTTCTGTAGTCTACCCAACCACTCCGGGAAGATCCGGGCATGGATCTAAAACCTCCAATACAGGGCTTTATTGTACTGCAATTGTCAGTTCTCCCGAGACTGAGTTCCTTGAAGGAAGGAACTGGACTTTTCAAATCTGTAGCTTCGTATGCAGCATGGGACCTATCTTAATTCATCAGCGCTTAGTTGTGCAATGAATAGAGCCCAACTGCTACCAACACATCTTCCCTCATCTTCCCCCCGGGAATCTCGCATCTACAGGTAATTCCAGAATGAAAGACGGTGTTTCTAAACCTTAGTCATTCAGATAGCACCTTCACAACTGTTACAGTATCTATCATCCACAGGTGCAATTCACTTTTTAAGCTAATCACTATTCGAACTTCAATATTGCCTTACTGTAAGCTGTAATAACTGTAAAATTATGTATTGTGCTAATTCTATATTTTCCCCTAAGATCCAAATATTAAAAGACAGTCATCCCAGCACTAACTAAAGTAGTGTTTCCCACACTTCTCTATTAAGAAGCACGTGAGATACTTGGTACAAACATAACATCCTGAGTCCCACCCCAAAGCCACATCAAACACTCCAGGGAAGGGATCTGGGAATTCGTAGGTTTAACAAGTGCCCCAAAATGATTATTATCTGTTGGAGAATCTAGGCAACAATGAATTAATGAACGCTCTCCACCACTTGGTACTGGTACCAGGTTTGAGGATCACAGGGAAGGGGGGTAGCGTATCAGACTAGCAGAGTTGCCAGAACTCAGGCTTTCAAAAGAGAGGTGCCACCCTCTCCCATGTATATGTAAGTAGCAAAGAACCCATTCCGACTACAGTAGGAGAATCCTGAGGGTAGAGGTTCATTTATGCTACACATATCCAAATTCATTATAAAAAGTTTTCCAAGGGCTGGGCACGGTGGTTCATGCCTGTAATTCCAACATTTTCGGAGGCTGAGGAGGGAAGATCGCTTGAGGCCAGGAGTTTGAGACCAGCCTGGACAACATGGTGAGACCCCATCTCTAAAAAGTTAGCTGGGTGTAGTGGTGCATGCCTATAATCCAAGCTACTAAGGAGGCTGAGGTGGGAGGATCACTTGAGCCAGGGAGGTCGAGGCTGCAGTGAGCTGTGACTGTGCCACTGCACTCCAGCCTGGGTGACAGAGTAAGACCCTGTCTAAAAGAAAAAAAAAAAAAAATCTCCCAGAACTCACTGAGATAAAACCAAGGTTTCTGTACCTAAAGTTGTACAGACCAGGCATGGTGGCTCATGCCTGTAATCCCAGCACTTTGGGAAGTCAAAGGCAGGCAGATCACATGAGGTCAGGAGTTTGAGACGAACCTGGCTAACATGGTGAAACCCTGTCTCTACTAAAACACAAAAAAAATTAGCCAGGCATGGTGGTGCATGCCTGTGATCCCAGCTATTCAGAAGGCTGAGGCATGAGAATCGTTTGAACCTGGGAGGCAGAGGTTGCAGTGAGCCGAGACTGTGTCACTGCACTCCAGCCTGGTCGACAGAGTGAGGTTCTGTCTTAAAAAAACAAAAAAAAAGTTTTACACAAAACTTCATTTTCACTAAAACCAAAGTCAGAACCTAGGAAGGCAAAACACAAAGGTTCTGGAAAGAAGTGCTCCATAGGGAGGTAGAAGTGATCAAGTGACCTGTCTTCTATCTCCTTCCTAGCTGTTTCACTGCATATGCCCAGTGCCTGGGCACAAGGCCTCAAATGCAGGATTAAGTGATACCTTGATGTGAATGCCATGGATTCCTGCTGGACTAGTGCCACCAAGAGATTACTTCCTCTTCGTCTTTTTCTTTGGAATATGGCAAGTTCTCAATTAAAAGATAGACTCTTATTCCCCATTGCCTTGCCTCTCAAAGTCTGCATCAGCATCACCTGAGAGCTGATTAGAAATGCAAAATCTCAGTTCCTATCCAAACCCACTGAATCAGAACCACTGTTTTATAACAAATCTCCTGGAGATCCATATGCACATTAAAGTATAAGAAGTACTGCCCAATAGGGCTTAAAAATACCACTTCCCTTCCCTCCAGACCCCTGCTCCCTGGGAAATTCATCTCCTCTTTCATTAATTTTTCCCAAATCACATTATTCAGAAACCCAAAATGGGGCACCCATCTGTGGAACCCCTTTACATTAGACTGCCCCCAGATTTCCTAACACTTTAAAACCTATGATAGGGATTTTTGGTAAAGTGAAATGCGATAATTCAAGTAAAGTTCTTAGCTCATTATCTGGCACAGGAAGAATTCAATGAAGGATAACTGCTTTAATTATAGTATCCTTAAGTATTAGCTATGAGATTCAGTTCTGAGCAAGCCAGGGCGAGTAGACTGAGAGGCTTACGTTTAAAAGAGCTCACTGTCCAGTACAGTAGCCACTAGCCACAATTGACTCTTTACATTTATTATTATTTTTTCTTATTTATTTTTGAGACAGGGTCTTGCTCTGTTGCCCAGGCTAGAGTGCAGTTGCACAATCTTGGCTTACTGCAACCTCTGCCTCTCGGGTTCAAGAGATTCTCGTACCTTCGCCTCTGGAGTAGCTGGGGCTACAGGCGTGCGTCACCATGCCCGGCTAATTTTTGTATTTTTAGTAGACAGAGGTTTTACCATGTCGGTGAGGCTGGTCTCAAACTCCTGGCCTCAAGCAATCCATCCGCCTCGGCCTTCCAAAGTGCTGGGATTATAGGTGTGAGCCACCACATCCAGCCTAATTTAAATTTAATAAATTACAGCCTAGTTCTGTCAATAAAAAAAAAAATAGGCTGGGAGGCCAAGATGGGCGGATTACCTGAGCTCAGGAGTTCAAGACCAGCATGGCTAACAGGGTGAAACCCCATCTTTACTAAAAATACAAAAAATAGCCGGGCATGGCAGTGTGCACCTGTAATCCCAGCTACTCAGGAGACTGAGGCAGGAGAATTGCTTGAACCCGGGAGGTAGAGGTTGCAGTGAGCCAGGATGGTGCCATTGCACTCTAGCCTGGGCGACAGAGCGAGACTCCATCTCAAAAAAACAAAAATAAATAAATAAAAATAAAAAATAAAAAAATAAAAAGTTAATGGTGTAGTCCCTCAGTTGCACCAGCCACATTTCAAGTGCTCCGTTGTCACATGGGGCTGGTAGCAACCATACTGGACCTCCCAGATCTAGAACCTTTCCATCATCACAGCCTATGGACAGTCCTGGTCTAGAGGGCCTGTGGAATGTACAACGGCCACCTGAGGAATGCATTCTGCTTGGGTTGCAGACTGAGAAGAAGGGCTTTCTTAAAGGCAAAAGTTCATATAACTTTTGCTAACAGTGGGGGATGGGGGAAGGGTTGATGATCCCCACCCTCAGAAATAAAACCACAACAAGGACTTCCAGTAACTCTATGTAAAAGACTCAGACAGATACAGAAAAGAGGCCCCAACATAAAGAATTTCTAAACTTTATTCTTTTTGTTATCGTCTGTCCTCTGGTAGTGATCAGTGGTCAGTCTTTGGAAAGAAAGGACCTATGAACTCAACTTTAGTTATAGCAAAGAAATGAGCAGAAGAGGGAGGGAATGGCCAGCAGCCATTGAAGAGGGAGAGCAGGCTGGGCCCAAGGGGCACCCAGTATTGGCAGAAAGGAAAGCTCAGGGTGTCAAGTGAGCCTGAGAAGGGATCATCTGGCTGAACAAGAGAGGTCCACATGCAGCTTTCAGCACACACTTGTGCATTCCAGCCTCAGCATTTGCTCACACCAGTTCCCCGCCTAAAATGCCTGACATTCTCCCTCTCTACTTAACTCATGTAATAAATTTTTACTGAAGTGCCAGATATTCTGAACAGAGTTGGTCACAGATAAAGGTGTGTTGTAGAGTCATTAAAATGGTCAAGTATTTGACTGGATCTCCATTTGGAAAAAAAAAGAAGAAAAAGTCCTATCTTAACACTATACAGAAAAATTAATTATAAGATGATTTTATAAATATACAAATAAGACTATAAAAATACTAGAAAAATGATCTTAGTTCCACCATATAAAAATAAATACTAGAAAAAACACAGAAAACATTGTGATCTGAGGTAGTAAAGACCGTCTTAAATCAGACAAAACCAAAAAGCAGTGAAAGACTGATAATTTGGACTTCATCAAAATTTAGAACTTCTCTTTAACAAAGAATATCACCAAACTTAAGCAACATCATACTAATTTTTTTCTTAAAATATATTCTGAAGAAAACAATTACAACATATAAAATTAAGAACTAATGCTCAGCTGGGGGCAGTGGTTCACGCCTGTAATCATAGCACCTTAGGAAGCCAAGGTGGGCAGATCACTTGAGGTCAGGAGTTCTGGACCAGCCTGGCCAACATGGTGAAACCCCATCTCTACCAAGAAATATAAAAATTAGCTGGGCATGGTGGCACGCATCTGTAGTCCTAGCTACTTATAGCTATTATATAAGGTAATCTTGTACAATATTTTAAATACTTTTGTGCATGAAACAAATTTTTGACTATGATCCATCACATGAGGTCAGGTGTGGAATTTTCCACTTCTAATGTCATATTAGTGCTCAAAAAGTTTCATATTTTGGAGCATTTGGGATTTCAGATTAGGGATGCTCAGGCTGCACTGCAGTTTTGGTTTTTCTTTTTCTTTCTTTTGTTTTTTGAGATGGCGTCTCACTCTGTCACCCAGGCTGGAGTACAGTGGTGCGCCATCATAGCTGACTGCAGCCTCAAACTCCTGGGCTCAAGTAATCCTCCCACCTCAGCCTCCTGAGTAGCTAGGACTACAGGCTTGCACCACCACACCTGGCTAATTTTTTTTTTTGGAAAGACAGGATCTCACCAAGTTGCCCAGGCTGGTCTCGAACTCCTGAGCTCGAGCTATCTGCCCTCCTTGGCCTCCCAAAGTGCTGGGATTACAGGAGTGAGCCACCGTGCTGGGCTGTTTTCAGTTTTTAATACAAGGTGGTTTTACATGAACTAAGAAGGAAAAGTTTTCAAGACATAATTTCCTAGAACATTTAAAATATAGTATGATTTCATTTGGGGAAAAGAAAACCTCCCAAAATTAGATGGGCAAGGCAAAGGCCCTGATGGACACACATCAAACTGATAAGGAAGTGATCTCTGGAAAGAGGAGTGGAATTGGGGGTGGGTGTTGTCAAGAGGGGCTTTCACTTTATCTGTTTGGTGTGAAAGTTTTCACAAGGAGAGTGTAATATGTTACTTGTGTAAACCAAATGAAATGAAATATGGGAAGCTTGATTGGATCACCTTTTTTTAAGCTACAAAAGTTACTTTTGGGACAACTGGGGAGGTTTGAAAATGTACTATATGTTAGATAATATTGTGGTTACATAGGATATTCTTATTTTTAGGAGTTCCTCGCCGAAATACTTAGGGGTAAAGTGTCAAGAAGTCTGCAACTTTCAAATGGGAAAGAAAAGAAGAAAGGGTAAAGGAAGGAAGATGGGAAGGAAGGATGAAAAATAGGAAGGGAAGGATGGAGGGAGGGAAGAGGAGCAGGAGGGAGGAGGAGAGGCAATGGAAATGGATGAGGAGGCAAGAAGGGAAAGAAAAAAACCAATGTCAAGGCAAAGAAATAAAACAAGAATGTTAATCACTGGTGAATCTAAGTGAAGATATATGGGTGGTCAAGGTATTCTTCTAACTTTTTTGCAGGTTTGAAATTAAAAAAAAGAAAAACATTACTATCCCTCACCTCGGATTTCCCCCTTGTACTCTTCTCACACTTGGCAGTGTCACTCATATTACTAGTGATGACCTCTGAGAATGTCTTACTTCCCATGAGCTCCTGAAAGGAGACACCTTTCAATTCTTTGCCCCGCTCTCTGCAGCGAGCATGCTGCCCAGCGCAGAGCAGGCAGTGGCAAATACGGGTAAGAAATGAGTCCATGTAGGCTGGAAGATGCAAGGCATTCACCTGTGAGGCCGGCAAATACGAAGTCAAGGCCTGGAATTGCAGTATCAGTTCTGATGAGGTGCATGACAGGCGTGTCTCCTGGCTGCTTGGCCTGGTCCCAGCAGAGAGTTACTCAGGCCTGGAGCCAGGTCTTTCTAGGGGGACTACTGAATGGAACTGTAGTCTGAAAGTGCTGTTACAAACTGCCTGAGTAGTTTTCAGATTGATACTTTGTACATTACAAAGTGATAGAAAAGTACAGTGCTCCTACAACCCTTTCTCTTTTGATTTTTACAGTGACTCTGAGAGATAGGTATTACAGTATTTCCATTTGACAGATGAGGACACATGCTCAGAGAAGGAAAGTGACCACTCCAAGGTCACACACAGAGGAACTGGGCTCAATCTCATGTCTTCAAGACTAAAGATCTTTCCACTAGACCATGCTGTCTTCTTTGAGGTCTGACTCCTAACCTAATAGCAGAAAGACACACTTACCTGATTCAGTCTTTGGACTACATCTCCCCACACTGTGAGATCACCACAGGCAGCTTGGGCTTATTGTTGGGGCCTGTGGGAACATTCTAGGAAAAAAAGCACAATGGACATTCATCCACTCAGGCACTTCCTCATTCCCTTATCAAACTTTTACTGATGCCTGCCAGCCCCTGTGCTAAGGACTCAGCACTCAGAAACTGTCCATGTCCTGGCAGACAGGTATCAAAGAGAAAATGCAAAACACTTAGAAAACATCAAACCTATGATAATATAACAAAAAGTTATGAGAGAGTTGGATAAGGGGTAGACGGGTAACTAAATTGCTGCTTAAAGAGGTCAGGGAAGGATTCACAAAAGAGGATTATTTGAACTGTGCCTAGAAGGATGAATGGGATTCCACCAGGAGGGAAGGAAAGAAGAGCATTCCAGCTACAGGAAACAGTGTGAACAAAGGCTCAGGAGCAGGAAAGAGCAAGGGGCAGAGATGTGTATGGCAGATTTAGGGAAGAGCTAGTAGCCTGATGTGACTGGAACATGAAAGAGGCAGTGGCAGGAGAAGGGGCCGTGGAGAAGTAGACAGGGACTAATCATGAAGGACCTTGAATGCAATGCTGAGGAGTAGAATTTTATCAAGTAGGCAACAGGGTCGTCAGGGGCCAAACCTCAGTGCTGACCAGACAGGCTAACTTAGGTGGTCTCTCCTCCCTTTTCCTGAAGCAATGAAGACTGGGCCTAACAAACTGGAGCTCATTCCCCCTTCTCTAGCTCCTGGACGCTAGTCAGACAGTACCAGACCAGAATGGGAGAGAAAGAGAAAAATCAAAGCAGTACTTACCTCAATCTTTCTCATCACTAGAAGTCCATCGATGATTTTTCCTGTAGGAAGAGTGTGAGCTGGACTTTATTCTTGTTTACATAGCGTTTTCCAGCTTCCAAAGCCCATTCTTAGCTATTATGTCATTAGATTCTGTTACTAACTTTAGGAAATTAAGATGCAGTAGAGGTGAAATGACTTGCTCAAGGTCATAGGTAATAAGTAGAGTTAGGGCTCACACTTATATCTGAGTGACTGCAAAGTCTCACCATATCATGCTGCCTGTATGGCATTTCTTTGGTGCTAGCTACTGGGTTTTCCCCCTGAGTGGTTCCATACTATATCAAATGGCCCTTTTGTCCTTCCCTCTAGTTCTCTAGCCAAACATGTTCCCCACCTCCCCACCATTTCTGTTTTCTCTGTTACCACCTAAGCAGTTATCCAAGTTGAGCATTCTTGGTAAGAGTCTGAGAACTAACTCCTCTGGAGGTTCCATCCGCGGTGAATGGGGCCTGGACCATGGGACATGAGTAGGACTTACCAAACACCACATGCTTCCCATCCAGCCAATCGCACTTAGAGCAGGTGATAAAGAACTGACAGCCATTTGTACTCGGACCACTATTTGCCTGATGGAAACCAAATATACCTGCAGTAAGTTTCCTTGGCCATGTTACCTGATGGGTAAGATTCCCAAAAGAGCTTGTAACCCTAATCCCTCCATGTTTTTTTCAGTAAATCTAACTTAGCACCTATTATGAGCCAGGGCCTAAGCTAGGATCCAAGGATCCAGAGATGAACAGGATATGGCTCACTGCAGACTCAAATTCCTGGGCTCAAGCAATCCTCCCACCTCAGCCTCCCTAGTAGGTGGGACTCCAGGTGTGTGTCACTATACCTGGCTAATTTTTTTTTTCTTTTTTTAGTAGAGACTTAAGTTTCACTATGTTACCCATACTGGTTTCAAACTCCTGACCTCAACCTCAAGCAATCCTCTTGCCTTGGCCTCCCAAAGTGCTGGGATTACAGGTGTGAGCCACCAGGCCCAGCTATGAATATGTCTTGAAAGCACAGCTTTTTACATTCTGAGCAGTAGGGCTGAATGCCTAGACACAAACCCTGGTTCATATTTTAGTTCCCCAGCCTGCTAGCCTGCTAGAGGGTCTTACCTACTGGTTTTCTTTTCTTTCTTTTCTTTTTTTTAAGACGGAGTTTCGCTCTTGTTGCCCAGGCTGGAGTGCAGTGGCACGATCTTGGCTCACTGCAATCTCCCCTTCTTGGGTTCAAGCGATTCTCCTACCTCAGCCTCCCAAGTAGCTGGGATTACAGGCACCCACCACCACACCTGGCTAATTTTTTGTATTTTTAGTAGAGATGGGTTTCACCATGTTGGCCAGGCTGGTCTCGAACTCCTGACCTCGGGTTATCCACCCGCCTCAGCCTCCCAAAGTGCTAGGATTACAGACGTGATACAGGCTCACACCTGTAATCCACCATGTACCTACCGGTTTTCTCAATCAAACCAGACTGAGAAAAGAGGTGGTAAAGGTGAGTCCTGGGGCAAGCAAGAGAAAGAAAGCATTTGCTTTCATCATGCCAAAACACAGCATTGGGCCTCAAGAGGGGCCCAGAAACCAGCTGGCTGTAACGCAAAACCTTGATTGGACCTCACTTACCATGGAAAGCAGGCCTGGGGCTGAGTGTCTAAGTTTAAAATTTTCATCGGCAAATGGCCCCCGGTAAATACTGGCAACTCCAGTACCATCTCCCTGAGCAGACAGAAGGGAAATATTAGTGACTTGGAGTGTTGGGTCCCTGGAAACCAGAGGAAGAACACTGTCGCACCTAAAGCCTGACATCCTTAAAGTCTACTCTTACTCTTGTTGGTCATCTTGGAAGCTGCACCTATTTGACCCCACCCTGCCATCAGAGCAAGCCTTATACAAGGTACCTACAGCCCACAAAAACTGGCTGGAGCATTTTATAGACTGGATAAAACAGGTCACAGCTGGGCCCCTAGAAAGATCAATTAAGATGCAGACAAAGTAGGGAATAGCAACAAGGTGATCACATACTCAATCGTTGCCATTCCCGAAGACTGTCATGCCTGCAGTCATATAAAAGTACCCACTTAAGTGACTACCACCCATTCCTCCAAACTCTCTAAGAGGGTGGGTGAGCTCTTGGCAGTCTGTATGTACAACATGATACCACCCTCCTGATCATAGTTGATTGATCCAGGGGAGGATGCCTAACTCACACTGGGCCAACTAGAGTTCCTTCTCCGGGAATCTGGAGGTGGGATAGATGCTGTCTTTGAGGCTAAATTTGAATCATGTAAACCTGGAAGCTGGATGTGACTACCATTTGCAAGGTGGGCTAGAGAACAGAAAGAGAACACAACACAGATGTGTAGCAAGCACTAGAGAAACAGAGATAAAGAACTGCCTTGGTTCTCTATGGTTCTAGTTCCTAGTTCTATTTCTTCCTTTAGTTCCATGAAACACTCCCTTTATTATAAACTTCCAATTTCTGCTTAAACTAGCTTTATTTGCATTATCTCTTTGCTCTTCCAGCAACCTTGAGGAATAAGCATTATCACCTTCCCCATTTTTCGTGTGAGGAAACTAAAGTCTGGGTAATAACACAATTTGACCAAGGCCATATTTGCAGTGCCTTAAATAGAATCCCTGAGTTTTAAAGGCAATATTGAGGACTGCCAAAAAGATCAAGCTCTCCTCGCCAGTTAGTAAAGAGAAAGAGTGCATGGGAGAAAGGGAAAACACTGACCTGGTGTAGAATCAACAGTGAGTGAAGAGAAAGGGTGCATGGGAGAAAGGGAAAACACTGACCTGGTGTAGAATCAAGGGTCCCTTTTTGGGACAAGGACTATCATTAAGATAAGCCAGAGAATACAGAAAAACTGTCCAAATTCAAACCTTTATTTGGCTAAATATTAGCAAATAAAATCAAGTCTGTATATTAGAAAGGCCTGGCCTGGCGCGGTGGCTCACACCTGTAATCCCATCACTTTGGGAGGCTGAGATGGGTGGACAACCTGAGGTCAGGAGTTTGAGAGCAGCCTGGCCAACATGGTGAGACCCCATCTCTATTAAAAATACAAAAATTAGTCATGTGCGGTGGTGGCGCCTGTAATCCCAGCTACTCGGGAGGCGGAGGCACGAGAATCACTCAAACCCACCCGGGAGGTGGAGGTTACAGTGAGCCAAGATTGAACCACTGCACTCCAGCCTGGGCGACAGAGCGAGACTCCATCTCAAAAAAAAAAAAAAAAAAAAAAAGACCTGGATTTGGGTTCCTGATCTATCACTTAGAGCTGGGAAAGTCACTTCCTATCTGTGAGCCTCAATTTCCTCATCTATCAAGTGAGGGGGAAATTACCTACTCTTTACAGTTATCATGAAGATTCAATTAGATAGTGTCTGTAAAAAGCACTTTGCAAACAATACAGCACTATATAAATAATCAAATAAGCTATTATGTCATTAACTAACTCCACATACTTATTAATACAGAAGGAAGAGAGAAAACAAGTTCATCTCCAATTTCCCAGTGAACCTCAGGGACACATCAGTTACTACCATTCTCCGTAATCACATTATCTATAGTTCTCCAGAAACAATAGGCAAAATTACAAAATTAATAATTTGGAGCAAACAATAGAAAGCAACTAATCTTCCAACTATAGTGAATTGATCAAATAACTTGTCATTCATAATGAAATATTAGGTGGCTATTAGAAAGTATGTTTTAGAAGACATAATGACAAGGGAAAGTATGGACAATTATGAAGTACAAAAAAAGTAAAACATACAGATTATTTTAAGTCTGTTAAAAATTATATAAACACACATATACATACTAAGGTAAGGCTGACAACTGTAAACCAAAATGCCAATAGTATATTGTGAGGTGAGATTGAGGGTGATTCATCTGGTGATTTATTTTCTTCTTTGCACTTTTCTTTCACAAACAAAATAATAAATACTATTAAAACCAAAAATAAATGAACAAAACAAATATTCTTGGTCCAACTTTGGAAGGTCTCAAATTCTGATTTTTCTGGCGCTTGCTCATTCCATTTTGCCCTCCCCAAGGAAGGTTCTAAGCAAGCTTTTTTTTTTTTTTCCTTTAGACAAGGTCTCACTCTGTCCTCCAGGCTGGAGTGCAGTGGCATGAACATGGCTCACTGAAGCCTTGAATTGACCTCCTGGGCTCAAGGGATCCTCCTACCTCAGCCTCCCAAGTACCTGGGACTACAGGCGCACACCACCAAAAATAAGAAAATAAAAATAACTTTTTTTATTTTTGTAGAGACAGGGTCTTACTATGTTGCCAGGCTGGTCTCAAACTCCTGGGATCAAGCAATCCTTCCAGCATCCCAAAGTACTGGGATTACAGATGTGAGCCCTGCCACCAATTGCTTTTAACTCACCCTTCAGAATGAGCAACTATTGTCTAACCCCAGAGTTATCAACAAGTGATCAGATGTGCCTGGGGCAAAGACTAGTAAAAAGCTATTCCTCTCCTTGGGCAACAGGGGAGCCTAGGGGAAAAGAAAGGAAAGAAGGCAGAGAGGATAGCTTCTCCGCCCTTCTTACCAGCTAACAAACCCCACTACTATTATTTGTTTCCAGGGGTTGCAAACAAATGCCTACAGGAGCAGGCAACCTAAATAAGGGAAACAGTTGTGGAGACTGGTGAAATGGCAAAGATATGCCATGTCCAGAGGGACCAGTTCCTTTATTCCAAGCAATTGTCACTGTCACTGCCACTGTGAGAAATGCAGGCCCAGCATACTTCCACTTTCCATTTTTTAAAGAGAAAACAAAACTAGGATTTTTTTGTGCCATTTCACAGTTATACAACACCATGCAGACGAAACAAAACATAGGTAAAAGCATAAATCGGCCTAAAACCTGCCACTCTGCAACCCTATATTGCATAGGAAAGGAAAGAGGTCTTAAAAACTCATGAGAGCCGGACTAAATAAACATATAAAAAAGAACAAATGTCTCCCAGATCCAAGAAAATAGCAACACAACTAACCAAATGATATTAATAAGAGTAAAGAAAGACCATGCACAGAAGTGGGTGGGTAAGGACGAAAGCAGGTTTAAGAAAGAAAAACTGTAGTTTATCCCACACCCTCCAAGGTTGGGGTGGGGAGGGAGGCTTCATTTGGGGGAAAAAAACAGTCTACTTACAAGAAAGTTATGGTTAGCAAAAAAGAACTATTTCACTGGGCCCTCCCAGTGCATAGCGCAAAATTCCTCCAGAACTATCTACCTATCTCGCTCTGATTCCTTGCCCACAAATCAACTTCTTATGAAAAACTCAGCTTTCCAGGCACTGTGACACCAGAAGTAAAAGAGAAAATGAGACAGGCATTTAGTCCACTAGAAGGAGATTTACCTCCATTCAGAAAAAAACAAAAACAAAAACAAACCACAGCTGATTTCTGACTAAGTTTCATATGACTAATTAGTGTGAACCTATCATAGATCATCTACAGGGTATTCTTAAAAAGTCCAATTTCTGGCTCAAAAAGGCTGAGATTTGGACCATGGAAGTTAATGCCTCAATCAAAGTGCTAAAGTCTGTTATCTACAGTCAGTTGTACCTAGCCACTTTCAAGAACTTCCCCATCACCATTCTCTCCAACACCCCCATCAAACCTGGCTATTGTTCTCAAGCCTTAAGACTGGGTCTCTGTAGTAAAAACAGCAATTGCAACAATAATAAAAACTAAAACTACAGGTCTTTGATAGAAAAGGAATAGTACTTACATTAACAAAATCTCCACCCTGAATCATGAAATCCTTTATGACCCTGAAACAGAGAGCAAAGAATACTGAGAGAAGATTTTATGGAGACTTTGTTATTATTGTATTAGATTAACATTGATTTCAAAATACACTATAACTTTGGCTATTATAAAATCACCATTCTTAGCTGGGTGCGGTGACTCACGCCTGTAATCCCAGCAGTTTGGGAGGCCGAGGCAGGCAGATCACATGAGGCCAGGAGTTTGAGACCAGCCTGGCCAACATGGCAAAACCCCATCTCTACTAAAAATACAAAAATTAGCCAGTCGTGGTGGCACATGCCTGTATTCCCGGCTACTTGGGAGGCTGAGGCAAAAGAATTGCTTGAACCCAGAAGGCGGAGGTTGCAGTGAGCCAAGATCATGCCACTGCACTCTAGCCTGGGTGACAGAGCGGGACTCTGTCTCAAAAAAAAACCAAAAACCAAAAACCAAAACAACAAAAAAAGAAGATTATTCTTTTCCTGGAATGATTAAGCTGAAAGGATAATTAACCATAAAAAAGGATTTTAGTTATAAATTAGGGCATGTTAGAGTTGATCAAGTGCATGATCTGGTACCTGAACAGTAACAAGAAGAAGGGGCTGAAAGCCTGCAGGAAGAATGACCACATTACTTGCCAAAGCAAAAGGCAGATCAAGGATTTGATGTAAATTTGGGGGAAAGAACTACAGAGAATTTATGTGAAAGGTACTGCTACACATGTAAGGGCTTAACAATTGTTAGCTATTACCCCTAGGGAGGGTCCTTAACCTTTGTTATCCTCAGTTTCCTCCTCTGTAGAATGCAGATCACACATACCACTTCACAGGAGTCTTACTGGGGATTAGAGACCCACAGTTCTAAAGCTGTGATATAATTATGTGCTAACATTGTTACTAACCACAGTGAGGCCATGAGAAAGATTCTATATTGAAATGAGACTAAGTGTTGCCATACTCCACTCCCCAGGAAATATGATTATCCTTGGACAATCATATATGATCATTTTAGGAATTAGTTATAAATAGCAACCAGCAGGATATATTATATGCACTTTAGGATTACAAGTGTACTTCTTTAAAAATCTGCATTTGCACAAACAAGTGCATGAAAAAGACAGGATATTGTAAAGATGAGTAGTTTCTGTTTTAAAGACATAAGAAGTGGGAGAGTATAAGTAGAGTTAGAATATTTAATAAATCTTCAGTTATTGAGTCCACAAAAACATTTCTTCTCAAGAAATGTAAGAATTACCTCTGGTTTTATTTTCCTCTAAAGAGCCTAATCCCCCAGGAAATATTTCTGAAAGACTCTAGGATGGCTTGCCAAAAGCCTTACCTGTGGAAGGTGCTTCCTTTGTATCCTATTGGAACCCCATCTTTTCTATAACAAAAAGAAAGAGACTTGGAGTGATAGCAGGTAGCACAAGGCCTTTCCAGTTTACCATGCACTGGAGCCAAAAGGACTCTCCTAAAGATGGTTGACAGACATAAAGAAGGCAAATAAACTAGGGACAGACCCTTGGGGCATTACCTTCTATCACTGTCACCAGCAATCATTCAAGGCCAGCAGCTGGTTCACCGATACCCTCACCGCAGCCCCAGAACACCCTTCTGGAGCAGGCAAAGAAGTCAAACACATCTGAAACTGACCTGAATTCTCCGGTGCAGAACTGCCTGAAAGGGACAAAAAGTGAACAATTCAATCACTATGACATCACAGTCGTGACCGCCTCTAAAGACGGGAAAGAATAAACAATGGAGCCAGCAAGTCCACCAATCCGCCAGCCAGACGTCCAAACACGGAGACGTACAGACTAACAACGTAAATTAACACGGGAACAATCCAAACGGCAACCAGACAGAGCAAAGCACGGAGGAATCAGGTCTCAAGAGCAGTGAGCGGACGGACAGAGGTAGACAGGCTATTCAGGCGGCTGACTAGAGCCCGACTTCTGCCTTAGCTAATCCAGCGGAACTGGAGCACGTCCTTACCTAAAGTTCTCGGCCGTCTTAGGCACAACGTCTGCAAAGAGCTCGATCTTCATGCGGCCAACTTCCTGCAATCAGCGGGAGACTGTCAGAAGGCCCAGTCCAAGACCATGAGGGCTTCACGGAGCTGGGGGCAGGATGGGCTGACCCACCACCCTGCCGCTCGGTATCACCCACCTCCGCCTCTCTGGTCTAACCACCCAGTTCCTCCAGAAGCGGGGCGCTAGGATTGGGGAGACTTCTCCTCATTTCTCCCCGCCCTGCAGGTCGGTAGGTTCGGGTGCAATTTCGCTTTCTGGCTGGCTTCCCGAGTCCGCTCTCTCTGAGTGAGTTCTGCCTGCCTAGCTAGCCCCGAGCAGTTTCCCTTCGGCGCAGGTGTGGGTAGCGTCCTGGATCTCACCTGACCGCCAATGCTGACATCAAAGAACACCACGGGGTTAACAGGACTTGAATTTGCCACCGCCATGGCTCCGACCCGGAAGCAGAAGTCGGGAGCGTGGGATTCCGGCGAACCTAAAGCCCTGTCCGCGGGTTTCGTCCGGGGAGCAGGCGCGGTGGACGCAGAGAGAGACCGGGCCCCGCCCCCGGAAGCTGTCGCCCCGTGCCGTGTGTGCTGAGGCTGCTGGGGTCTAGCTGGGAGACTCTCCCTGAGACGGGGGACGCGGGAGTGAGGAGGAGGAAAGCCTTGACATCTTTTTGGTTAAGGTCGATGGTCACCCCACTCACGTGGCTGTACTAAGGGCAGTACAAGTTGATCTTGCTCTAGCTAGGGCTTTTGGACTAGGCAGTCGCCAGGGTCCTCCTTATCGGCTCTTGGAACCAAGCCCTCTACACCGCCACACGTGCTGTGTCTGTCTTCTGCCCGCTAGTCTGTGAACACCGTGAAGGCAGGAACTCTGGTTTGTTCATCCTCAGCGTTTAGAACAGCTTGGCACGTAAAGGCTTGCTAAGTAAATATTTGTCCCTTCCTCTAAGTCAGGACAATAGATTAGGTTTCCGTTCTGCCACAAGCTCCCAGTTTGGTCATTTCCAATTCGTTTCCCACAGAGTAACTAGAGTTTTTTATTTTTTATTTTTAAAATACCTCTTGTGATTCCTATTTATTTTTAAAATAACTCCTGGCTTCCTATATTTAGAATAAAATCCAATTCTGTACATAGGAAGCCCTCCAGTGCATTAATCTGGCTATTACCTACCTGACCTCATCTTGTACCACTTGCCCTTAGTTACTGTGCTCTGACCTGTCTGCTCCTCCAGGTCACTGAGATCCCTCCTTTCTTTAAGGCCTTGTAATAGCTGTTTCTTCTGTCTGAAATATTCCTTCCAGATCTTAATGTGGGTTGGCGGGGTGATGGTGGGGTTTGGTTGGGCTATGTGTGTGGGAAGTAATGCTCCTTGTAGTTCAAGGCTCACCCCAGATGTTACCTCCTCAGAGGCAACATTAGACCTAATCTAAAGTAGCCCTTGGTCACTCAGATCACTGGTTTGTTTTCTTCATGCCACCCCCCATTTCACATTTGTATGGTATGTGTCTGCACCTCATTTCCTGCCACACACACATACATCTTCCTCCCTAATAGCATATAAACTCCATGAAAGTAGAGACTCTCTCAGTCCTGTTCGCAGCTGTAGCTGCAATGTCTCCTACTGAATAGCACATAGTAGGTAAATATAATAGATTCAATGAATTTAGTGAAAGAAGGGGAACTTGGGCAAGACTCATTAGCTATAACAGCATGCATTTAATATAATAGTTATTATTTCCTAGGTCCTTTGATCATCTTTTCTAGCTCTGTCGTTGGAGGAAGCAAGAATTACATATAAAAATCCAGTGTGTCTCAATTTAAAGGGTCATTTTTATTCCTGGTTACTGATCCTCTCCTCTTGGTCTCCTCCAAATGAAAAAGAAGAAAGGGGAAGAGGGAGAAAAGGAACAGCAGCAGTCATGCTTCAGTATAATTTTATACCAACTGTTTTAGAATAAATATTTAAAATTGATAATACCCAATGTTGATGAGGTTGTGAAAAAAATAGTACATTGATAAACTGCTAGTGAAAATAAATGATGATAGCTAGCATTTATTAAGCAGTTACTAAGTGCTAAATACTTTACATGCTTCGTTTCATTTGGTCCTCACAACCCTGTGGGATAGATAACTATTATTGTTCCCATTTTATGAATCAAGAAATTGAGGCTCAAGGAGGTTGAGTAACTTGACTATGAAAACAGTATGTTGACACACTTTTTTATTTATGTTATTATTTATTTATTATTATTATTATTTATTTTTTTTGAGACAGAGTCTCACTTTTTGCCAAGGCTGGAGTACAGTGGAGTGGTCTCAGCTCACTGCAACCTCCACCTCTCGGATTCAGGCAATTCTCATGCCTCAGCCTCCTGCATAGCAGGGACTACAGGTATGCACCACCACACGCAGCTAATTTTTGTATTTTTAGTAGAGACAGGGTTTTGCCATGTTGGCCTGGCTGGTCTTGAACTCCTGGCCTCAAGTGATCCGCCCACCTTGGCCTCCTAAAATGCTGGGATTACCGGTGTGAGCCACTGCAACTGGCCAGGCAGAACCCTTTTTTAAAGCAAGGAAGTGATGTCCTAGAGCAATATTAACATTTATATCCTTTGACTCAGTCCAATCGTGTGAATTTGTTTTCTGGAATAATTCAAAAGAAGAACTACATGCACAAAGACCTTCAACACAGCATAATCTTAATTAGCAAAAAAGTAAAACCATAGAGGCTCATGCCTATAATCCTATCACCTTAGGAGGCTGAGGTGGGAGAATCACTTGAGCCCAGAAATTTGAGACCAGCTTGAGCAACAGAGTGAGACCTTGTCTTTACAAAAAGTTCAAAAATGAGCCAGGCATGGTAGCATGTGCCTGTACTTGCAAGAGGCTGAGGAGGGAGGATCACTTAAGCATGGGAGGCTGAGGCTGCTCAGTCACACCACTGCACTCCAGCCTGGGTGAGAGAGTGAGACCCTGTCTCAAAAAAAAAAAAAAAAAAAAAAAAAAGTAAAAACAACATAAATGCCAAACAAGAGAACATGAGAACATGTAATTTACAGAACATCCACATCCTCAGAGATACTGAGCAGTGCTGTCCCACCCTGACTGGTGACATGGATGTGAGTGTGGCTGATCTTTTCTGAAGAAGCAGTCCCACTACACTAAAGATGAGTTGGAGACTGTTCACCTACTTTGTACTCCTATTTGGAAATATTTAGGGGTAGTTTCTATGTAATGGGGTTTATGTGAACTCTCTTCTCATACTCCCTCCTCCAGGAAAAGCTCTTGGTATTTTCCTATCCACTTTTATTTTATTTTATTATTATTTTTTTGAGATGAATTCTTGCTCTGTCACCCAGGCTGGAGTGCAGTGGTGCAATCTCCGCTCACTGCAACCTCTGCCTCTCAGGTTCAAGTGATTCTCCTGCCTCAGCCTCCCCAGTAGCTGGGACTAGAAGCGCACGTACCACCACATCTGGCTAATTGTTTTTGTAGTTTTGTTAGAGATGGGGTTTCCCCATGTTGGCCAAGCTGGTCTCGAACTCCTGACCTCACGTGATCTGCCCACCTTGGCATCCCAAAGTGCTGGGATTACAGGTGTGAGCCACCGTGACCAACCTCCTGTCCACTTTTAAATAATGTATTGCTCTAAATCTTCTTCATTAAACATTTAAAACTTTTCCATAAAATAATTAGTGGGGGCGGGGTCGCTGTTCAGCTTGGGGGGGGGGGGTCAGGGGAGGACATCGGTAACGGTGAACCTGTCTCTAAAGAAAATAGGGGGGGGGGGCGTGTAGCACCGGGGGGAGGAGGGGCGGGGGGGTGCAGTGAGGAGATCGCCATGTCCAGGGGACAGACGAACTTCTCAAAAAAAAAAAAAAAAAAAAAAAAAAAATATAGAACATCAACATGATTGAATATCATATGGCTATTGAAAATGTTTCCATGGTATATACAGTAAATTAAAAATCAAACTGTGAAAATGAATATACAATATTATAATAATAACAATTTAGAATATATGCACTTGAATTAGGACCAAAAGGGAATAATTGTAAAATAAAAATAGTTAAGATTGTGGTATTGGTGTAATCCCAGCACTTTGGGAGGCCAAGGCAGGTAGATTACCTGAGTTCAGGAGTTCGAGACCAGCCTGGCCAATATGGTGAAACCTCGTCTCTACTAAAAATACAAAAATTAGCTGGGCGTGGTGGCGGGTGCCTATAATTCCAGCTACTTGGGAGGCTGAGGCAGGAGAATTGGTTAAACCCGAGAGGCGGAGGTTGCAGTGAGCGGAGATCATGCCACTGCACTTCAGCCTGGGTGACAGAGTGAGACTCCATCTCAAAAAAAAAAAAAAAAAAGCTTGTGGTATTATAGGAGGGTTTTTGTTTTTGTTTTTTTTTGAGATGGAGTCTTGCTCTGTTTCCCAGGCTGGAGTGCAGTGGTGCTATCTCGGCTCACTGCAAGCTCTGCCTCCCAGGTTCACCCAGTCTCCTGCCTCAGCCTTCCGAGTAGCTGGGACTACAGGCACCCACCACCACGCCTGGCTAATTTTTTTTGTATTTTTAGTACAGACGGGGTTTCACTGTGTTAACCAGAATGGTCTTGATCTCCTGACCTCGTGATCCGCCTGCTTCGGCCTCCCAAAGTGCTGGGATTACAGGTGTAAACCACTGCGCCCATCCTAGGAGGGTTTTTTTAAAAACAAAATTTGCTTTAATGTGACTGTATTGTTTTTACTCTTAAAAAATAAATCATAAAAGAAACCCACGATAATAGGAAAGAATGCTTAATTAACCATACATGTGCTCTGTTGAAGAGAAACCTAAATAAATCATTGAACTAAAGTAAATATTTTGGCCAATACAAGGCATCTGAGGATATCAAACAAACTTGAGAAATCCATTTTTAGAATTGCTTTAATGAATTTATCAGCAATTTTGAAGACTCTTGGCTGATATCCATTTGGGATCTGTGGTAACTCTTCTCAATGTCATGGTCCACCTTTTGTCCAGGCTTTAAGTTAGCAGTTTTGTTCAGTATAGCTTTAGGCACCAGTGATTTTATAGTTCTGACTTTTGGTCTTGTTCTTGTATACCGTGTGTCTCTTTCAGAGAAGTCACATTTATGTATCCAGCCTCAGAATTCTGTGAACACACAAGATTCTCAGGGGACTTTTCAGGGGACTTTGAACTTGCCATTGCTTCTTTTGACTTAATGTCGTCAGTCTCTTGAAGACTTACAAATGACTCTACCAAACCTTTTCCTGAAAAACTAAGAAAGGCCATATGTGAGGACATCACGTAGACAAGAGTTTCTTGGTAGCAGTTTGGGGTTACAGGGATATAGGCATTAATAGAATTTCAATTTTTTGCAACTCTTACACAAAGAAAGCCAAATAAAATTTACCTTAAACCTATGTTCATATTTTATTTCCTACCTTAAGTCAGGATTCTGTGGGGTTTAGGGGTGAAGGAGTGGCAAGGGGAGGAATTGGAAGAAGACTCAAATAATTCATGTAGAGAAAATGACCCCAGAATGCTATGCCTTCTCAAGCCAGCAATCCAGGACTAGTTAGGCAGCCATGACTCTCAGGCGTGGCTGAGAGTCCATCTCAGATAGACTTGACTTTACTTGTCTTAACTTTACTAACCTGGAGTTTGATAAAGGCAATATTTCATTCACTACTTCAGATTCAAGGATGTCACTAATTGTTGTTTCCTAAAAGGAAAGAAAGGATGAATGAGAAAAGTTATAGTGATAAATCATTAGCTATATGATCCTAGAAAAAATATGTATATAATAGATATAATACCTCCACATAGTACAAACAATGAAAAACATAAAAGGGTATAGAATGAAAAGCTGGTTGCCCTCTCACTCTCTCTCTCTATAATCTATCTATATCTATTTATAGACTATCTATATCTGTCTATCTAGTTTTACACATGTGGTACTAGACATACTATCTTCACCTTGCTTCTTTCTTTTGTTACATATATTTTGGAGATATTGCAGAAAATTTATTTTTAAAATAACATCTTTGTTGAGAATTAACTCACATACTATAAAGTTTTCCCTTTTAGTTGGTTCAATTCAGTGCTTTCTAATGTACTCACACAGTTATGCAATCATCACCACTATCTAATTCCAGAACATTTTCATCAGCCCCCAAAAAAGCCCATACCCGGGAGCAGTCTACTCCCCATTTATTCCTCCCCCAATCCTTGGCATCACTAATATACTTTCTGTCTTTATGGATTTCCTTATTCTGGATGTTTCATATAAATGGAATCATGTGGCCTTTTATGTCTGCCTTCTTTATTATCATGTTTTCAAGGTTCATTATATTATAGTAAGTATTAATACTTTATGTCTTTTATGGCTGAATAATATTCCAATGTTTGGATAAAACACATTTTGTTTGTCCATCAGGTGATGGAGAGTGGGTTGTTTTCACTTTTTAGTTATTATGAATAATGCTGCTATGAATATTTATGTACAAGTTTCTGGTAGGACATATATTCTTATTTCTCTTGGATATTGTGATGGTCAGAAAGTTTTTTAAAATTTATATTTATACTATTGAATATTGACAAATTATAAGTGCATATACTTATGGGTACAAAGTGATGCTATGATACATGATATGAAATGACTGAATTGAGGTAACTAACATATCCATCACCTCAAATACTTATTCTTCCTGTCTAACTGAAACATTGCACCTTTGGCCATTGCCTCCCTACCCCTCAGTCTCTGGTAACCAGCATTTTGCTCTATGCTTACATGTGTTCAATTGTTTTAGATTCCACATTTAAGTGAGAAGATGTAGTATTTGTTTTTCTGTGCCAGGCTTTTTTTCACTTAGCGTAATGTCCTCCAGGTTCACCAATGTTGTTGCAAATGACAGAATTTCCCTCCTTTTTAAGGCTAAATAGTATTCTATTGTGTATATATACCACATTT